AAGTATGCAAAGGGCAAGTGTTCCAATGTCTTTGATATTAACATGTCTCAAATTGCGTCTCTTATCGAGTGATCGGCACCGTGCCTGAGAAACATGAATGCCAAGTGAGGTGATAGACCGTATGATCAGGATTGCTCACACTTATCCAAAGAAGATTCAAATACAAATCTAAAATACAAAAACAAAAAAACAAGTTTAAAAGTGAGAAACCTCAAGCATACAAATACCAAGATTCAAATGCAAGGTAAGGTTGCACACCTTGGGGACTTATTTTGGGTCTTGAGCCTTTATCCTTTCTTCTTAAACCTTTAGCCTAACCCCGTTACAACCCTTGAAAGATCTCCTTGAGGTGTTCACACACTTGTGCGAGGTTCGGCTAGAGCTACGTTCGGCATGATTCCTAACGGATACGTAGGCAACCTCATATTAGGGTGCAACCGTAATAAAATGCATTCATTCATACTCACATCATAATTATATCAAGGGATCTCTAATGCTCATCCCTATCCATTTAGAGCTAGACTTGAGGGCTTGATCCCTATTTCATTAGCCTACCCAACCTAAGAGTCACTATCAGTTGGCTCTTCTCAAAATATTTTTTCCATACCCTTAGCCTTTACAGCCTAACCTTAGTGTCACTTTCACACGCATCACAAATACGTAGCCAAATAATCCTTCCCTTAGGAATCCTTTGTCATGAAATCCTGATACGACTCTAGCGCACGCTTTGTCATCTTAGAATCACTCATTATCATAATCATCATCACACTACAAGAAAACAACCGATTTCCGATGTAATTAATCTGTCGGAAATACCCCGAATTCCGTCGAAAAACCCATTTCTGACGAAAATTTCTATCAGAAGCAAGTGTCGAAAACCAATTTGTCGGAAAAACAACATATTCCGACGGAATTTCCGTCGGAAACCGTTTTCGACAGAATTGAGGCGTCGGAGGAGATTTCTTCGACCAAGAAAGTCCGTCGGAAATTTCCAACGGACTATGTTCCGCTCGAGATTTCCGACAGAAAATACGTAGGAAAATCCTACCAAAACAAATGAAAAAAAATAGCACACCAACACTAACAAAAAACTTCATATTATTCCCCACAACCACTACCCAGCTCCACTACGCCACCTCCTAACAGCCCTTAACCCCTAACTAACCCTGACCCTAACCCATTCACCCTAACCGACCCACCAACCTAACCCTAAAACAATCCACCCACAACCACGACTCACAACCACCACAACCACGACCCACCCACAACCACGACCCACCCACCATGACCCACAACCACGGACCACCACCACAATCCAAATTTTATTTTATTTTTGAAAAAAAAATTTCAAAACAAAAGAAAGAAAATTAAAAACACAAAAACATACCTTAAAATTTGAAATTGTCTTCGATTTTCAACCGAAATCTATTTAATAAGGCTAAATTCGACCATGAAGACTCTAGAGTTTTCATGGTCGAAATTGACCTTAAAAACCTTAAAAACCTTAAAAAAAATAAAAATAAATAATAAATAAATAAACGGCGTATAGGACAGAGCGGGGCGGTAGCAAGGACCGGCATACCGGGCGGGAGGGTAGCAGCGTCCGACGTAGAAGACTAGAAGAGTGAAGGGAGAAGAGGGACAAGGGAGAAGAGAGAAGAGAGAGGAGGAGGGACAACGAGAAGTTAGAGGAGGAAGGAGGACGAGATAAAGAAAAAGAGAAAGAAAAGAAAGGAGAACGGAGAAGAGAAAGAGAAGAAGGGAGAACGAGAAGAGAGAGGATGAGGGAGAACGAGCAGAGGAAGAGAAAATGAGGGGAAGAAAGAGAAAGAGAGGAGAAAGGAAAATGAAGGAGGAAAGGGCAAGGGGCGGTTGACAAAATAATTATGGTTTTAGGTTTTTTTTTAACCTTAATTCCGCCGGAAATCCATAAATTCTGTCGAAAATTTCCGACCAAAAATCTAAATTCATCAGAAATTTCCTACGAAGTTTAAATCCATAGGAAATTTCGTAATATTAGATGGATTTACGTGTTCGTCGGAATCTTTCCATCGGAAATTGAGCATTTTCTTGTAGTGTCACAAAGTATGAGGTACTTAGCCTCCGAGCCTAAGTTACCCAAATACTTTCATTATCGGATCATCAATTGAGATAGTCTAGGATGCTACAATCCTTGTACCATGAGATACAATGGTTAATGCATACACTTGATTAAGCTCATTCAACATGCATCATTACTCGATTCTTTCTTTTCATCTGTTTTCCTTTTCGGGAAGTCAAAAAACTTTATTTCTCACCAACAATTTACCTCTTTTCTTTTTCACGTCTTTTTTCGGGAGAAAGTCGGTACCCTCCACAAAAATGGCAGGAATTTTTATTTTTATTTTTTTTTGCTTTTTTACATTTTCGAGTTGCACGAGCATAATCACCACATAATACACGCGAGTCATGCACATTGAGTCATGTTGTGTCACCGCAACAAGTTGAGTCTACACACACAAGTCATGCACTTTAAGTCATGTTGTGTCAAATCACATCGAGTCGATTTGTGTACATTGATTTACATGATAAGTCATGTAAGTCGAGTCTCAAGTCAACCTCAAGCCAACCAACTGTCAAGGTCCTTTTGCAAAATTTGATTTTTTGCAAGGCTCGAGTACATCATCTATGCGGAAATCTTTTCCAATATTGGATTGTTATCTCCTCTGGCAATATTTCCAAGAGTGGATTGTCACGCATCTTCTTCATTTGATAATTTTTCTAAGATTAGATTGTCATGTATCATCTCTTCTGGCAATATTTCCAAAAGTGGATTGTCACGCATCTTCTTCATCTGGCAATTTTTTCCTAAATGGATTGTCATGAGTCATCCCTTTTGGCGATGAATGCCCAAACACCAAATCCGGTGATGAATGCCTTTCGCGTTTTGATTGACGAGTTTTGCAAAGAGTTGAAGAGTCACGCGAAGTTTACTTAAGCCTTGACCATCTTTATAACTACCGGAAATTTCTTTAAACACAGAAACATTCATTACGTGTCCTTAAACCCAAAAACATTCATTTCGTGTCCTTAAATCCGAAAACATCATATTGTGTCCTTCAAAAACATTCATTTCGTGCCCAAATTATAAAAATGTCCAACCTGATTATTTTGGTCCATTTTCCCATTCTAATTATTGTTTGGTTAGATGGGGCTTGGAAAGAGCTTTCCAACGATATATTATAAGCCCAAATCCGACTTATCGAATGAGATATGGCCAAAATACTAAACCGAGTCTATGTCCACCTTTAGTACAACTCAATGATTATATAGAGTCCAAATATTTTATTTAGGCCCCTAACTAGATAAAGTCGTATCTCCTAATCAAAAGAATTACCTAAGTCCTCTAGCTAAAGCAGATAGGGAAGTAGGGTCGAATCCACAAGGAAACAAGTCTTTCTATTCCTAAATAATTTATTTAATCTAGATCATCAAGTAACCAAATTATTTTGGGATATTCTATTTGGTGGTCTCCTGTTTTTAAAAATTCCACATGGGAGACAAACTTTTTTCGAACTCTCTATAGTATCCCTGGGATTTTATATAATTGATTACAGTGGCCTATTTGTCATTAAATGGGCTAACCTACCACAAAATGGTTCAATAGTTTACCACATTTGATGAAAAGACTAGCCTACCCCTGATTTAATCTTCTTTCACTCATTCATCTTAAATGCTCACTGCACTTCACCTCCTTGCTCGACATTGTTGAACAAAAAAAATCCCCAAACCCTTTCCTCTCCCTTCAACCTCCACCAAATCTCAGATTATCACCATGAATTTTCGTGGAGTTTCGTCAAGGAAGAGAGGCGCAACAGATGGAAGCTTTAATTGGGTAAGGATGAAGCACTGCAATTGCAACCCCCCTAGCAACGCTGAGGTTAGGTTTTCTGATTCCATGACCAATTCAAAGAAGGCGTACTATGGATGCATGGAAAAAGTGCGAGGTTGTGGATTTTTTGAGTGGGTTACAGAAGATGATGTGAGTTTTTATGATGCTTCACCAAATTCTGAGATTGTCGCCATACATAACATGGTGGAAGACCTTTTTGTTTGTTGCAAGAGGCTTATGAAGATTGCTATTATCATATTAGCAATTTGTGTTTTTTTTTATCTGAAATGATGTAAACAGGATAATGAGGGATAGGGGAGTATTGTTAGGGTTGATCCTAATTAAGTTATGTAATCAGGGGTAGTGATGCAATGTGTACTGGTTTTGTGAATGCAACTATGTAATACAAGCAAGTATAAATAAAAAGTCAGTTATGATTCTTGCTTTCCATTCTAAGTACATGTGCTGTTAATGAGAACAAAGTTGAGATTTGATAAAGTCTAAACACTTGTGAATTGAAAGTACAGACCACAAGTTCAAAAACCATAAGTTCACCTACAAGAACTTAAATACATAACATAAGTTCAAAAACCATAAGTTTACCTACAAGAACTTAATTACATAACAGAAGTTAAAAAAAACCATAAGTTCACCTACAACAACTTAATTACATAACAGAAGTTCAAAAGCCAGAGCTTGTCCTAGTAGATGATCTAGTTAAATACAAACCATAAGTTCAAAAACAAAAAGGTGCAAGCAGTTGCACTGTCATTTACAAAAACCAGCAGGACAAATTAGACTTTGTTCTTTCCTTTAGTACACTTCCTTGACCTAGTAACAGGTTGGCTACTTGGACCTTGAATAGGTTGATGTGAACTCTGAGTTGTGTTAATGGAGGGTTGTGGTTGTGAAAGAGACTGCAATGAGCTTCTTGTGAATCTCCTTGGTGGGTCTGGTGGGTTTGCTGTGGATGTAGTATTTGGTGCAGTGTGTGTAGAGGATCCAGAAGTTTTCTTTGCTGCTTTTTTAGCTCTTGCCTTTCCAATTCTCTGTCCATCCCTAGCACTTTGCTCTGCTGCTGTTAGTCCACCCTTACATGACTTTTGTTGTGTCCATAAGACATACATTTCTAACATTGGACTGTTGTGGACCTTTTTCCTTTGTCTGGTTCATCAGGTGCCCTTTTTCTTTGTCTAGATGGCCTACCAATGGATCTCTTCATCACTGGTGGTAGTATGGTAGGCATATCAATCTCTGGACAGTGATCAAAATTTGGGACAGAGTGTATTGGGTTGGCATATGCTTGCTTATAATTTTGGACTGAGAACCATGTGCTACAGAACTGGTGTAGGTTCAATCCAGCAGCCAAGATTGCTCTGATTGCATGTTTGCAAGGCAATCCAGAAATTTGCCAGGCCCCACAGAGACATGTCTTCCTGTTTAGTGACACATGAAGCATAGACTTCCCATCCTTGACTTCATATTCACCCTCATCTGACTGATAAGCTTTGCAAGTTCTTGATTCAAAGGTCAACATCTTTATTCTCTTGACTATATTAGGACATGGTTCATCCTCATTCCAGTTGTTGCACCTTTGTCTTCTTGTTGATAGTCTCACCATGCACATTCTTCTTATACTTATGCATTCATGTTAGTATATGTTAGATTCTAAATAAAATGGTGTGGAATATGTTAAAAGAAGTCAGGAACTGAAAAAGTATACCTTCCAGAAGTGTTAACACAGCCTTCATCTGTCTACACCCAAAGTTGAATTGAAGCTCTCTACAAAGTTGGTCTTGTTCTCGTCACTGCAAATGTTTGGATAAAATTTGTGTCTTGTCCATCTTGACTGATCTCCCAATTTAGCCAACCATTCACAAGCCATTGGATTCACAGCCTGAATCCTGTCCACAGCCTTTTTGAAGGTGAAAGGGGATGTTGCACTACAAGCCAACCAGAATAGGGAATGCATCAAAGGCCCAGGAAATGATGCTTTCCAGTTCTTAGCTAAGTGTTTACAGCAGTATCTCCTATCCACTTCAGGCTACACCTCATTTAGTGCCACATCTATTCCTTGCACACAATTTTTTAGGAAAACTGAGTTTGCTTGTTATTTACAATTACATTAATTTACAGTGTGTGAATGACAGAGATAACTTACTTTTTGGCTGTCTGAAATTATACACTAATCATTTCCCCTCTCAGAACCTGACAGGATATGCTTGAGGTGCCAGAAAAAATACTTCCAACTGTCACCATCTTCCTTGGGAACAATAGCCCATGCAAAAGGAAATAACTCATTGTTTCCATCTAGGGGTGTACACCGGTCCAAAACCGGACCGGACCTGGACCGGACCTGTTTGGACCGGGGACCTGACTTGGGTAATTATGAGGACCGGGGACCGGACCTGAATTAACAGGTCCGGTTCCGGGCTAGACCTGAAAAATCAGGTCCGGTCCAGGTTTGGACCTGAATGGACCTGTTTTGTGATTTTTTCGTTTTTTTTTTTTAATAAAAAACCTTAATTCATTATTTCGAATACAAAATACCCAAACATAATTAGATAATTTAGCAAAGTACTCATTAATTGAAATTCTACATGCAAAAGTTGTAAATAATCAATTAAATTCAGAATACCAAATCAATGAAAGAGCAACCACGAACGACACTCCAACTAAACGGCTTCACCGCTGCTGCTGTTTCACTTAGGTGGTTTTCTTCACAGATCCGTTGTTCTGCCAGCCCAGAAAAATCAAAGCAGAGCCTCTGAATTCCCGTAGAAAATGAAGGATTACAGAACACAGCTAAGTCACCTCGACTTCTCCGTCCGCTGCTTCGCTTCACCGCTGCTGCACTGCTTTACCGCCGCTGCTCTGCTACTTTGCAGCAGCTTCGCTAGCCCAGAGAACAACCCAACCAAGCCTCCTTCGGTGTTCTTCGCTATTCTGCTGCTCAAAAAGTTCTCCTTTTTTTGTTGCCCAGCAAGATCTCAAGATAAGCTCTAGAATCTCACCACCAAAAACCCCAAAAATAACTTACCGGAGAAATGGAAAATCGCGCAGTAGCTGTCTCATGCGGTGGCCGGTGGGCGCCTGGGCTTCGCCTGAGAGAGTGAGGAAGGCAGGAGGTGTCGGCGGTGGGCGTTGCCGCGTTGGGCTGAGACTGGAGACGACAGTGAGCGTGAGGGAGAGGGGGAGACAGCCAGGGAGTTTGGAGATTGGAGTCTTGGAGAATGGAGATAGTCAGATAGCTGTTTGTTAGGGTTGCAGCGTAATTTTGATTTTTGAATTTTTTTTTTTTTTTTTTTTTTTTTAAAAATACAATTTTTCCGGGTTTCAGGTCCGGACCTGAAAACCCCGGGTTTAGACCGGGTCCGGACCGGAACCGGGAACCTTGATTTTTAAGGACCGGGACCGGACCTGAATCAACAGGTCCGGGTCAGGTCCGGTCCGGATCAGGTCGGTTCAGGTCCGGTTTCAGGTCCGGTCCAGTTTTTGTACACCCCTATTTCCATCTACAGCCACAGCAGACAGAAGGATCCCACCAAAATGACCTTTCAAGTGAGCTCCATCAACCCCCACTAAACTCCTACATCCTGCAACAACACCATCAATGGCAACCTTGAAAGAAATGAATATGCTTGAGAATGTGAAGGATGGATCAGGTGGATTCAGTTGCTTCCATGCACAGTTTGCTGCAGATCCTGGGTTGGTTTCCTTAATCATCTCACAGTACTTTGGCAAATACCCATAAGAATTATCATGCCCACCATTTATCTCCTTCAATGCTACCCCTCTCATCTTGTAAAGGGTGCTGGTAGCCATATGCACTCCATATCTACTGAATAACAGATCATTCAATGTCTTTCCAGAGATGTCATTATTTGCCCTTATATCTTCAAGTAGTTTTTCAGCAGCCCATTTAACAGTCACCAAGGGATTCCTTTCATCTAAGCCTCCACAAGTGTGCTTAGGGTTCTTTATAGTCTTTATAGCCCATGTCACTCCATCAGGTAGCCTAATTGAATGAATTCTCCAACTACAGTTTAAAGCAAGACAGGAAGCAGTGAACCTACTTGGACAGCTCCTATCAACCACTACTGCAAATCCACATTGAATGCAGTAATCTCTGAAGACAGACATGAAATGCTCTTTATCACTAAAGATCATCTAGGGCTTTAACACAATACTGCCAAACTCAATATCAGTCACAAATTCACCATTTATGTACATCCTACTGAAATAAGTTTCATCTGCATTAAGACCTCTCTGCCAGCAGTCTGATGAGTATGGTTCATATGTGTCATGAACACACCCACTGCCTTCATCCTCTCCCATATCATCTTCCAACTCAGTATCCTCATTCAATTCATCTTCCTGCTCACCAGCATCACCAAATACAGCTTCCAGAACATCTCCCTCATACATGTCATCTTCCAGTCCAGCACCCTCCACCAACTCTTGAGTATTGTTAGCTCTACTGGTCTCACCAGTCTCATATGTTCTCCCAACCTGAGCATCCCTAGCCTCCAATCTCCTAACTGCTTCATTAAACTCACCCTCATCCACAACCAGAGCATCAACCGTGGTTTTATGAGTCTGGACATTCTTCTTCCTAGCAGCTGTAGTTCTAGGTATCTTGTGAAGGACAAGGACAGAGTTACATTGCAACTTTGAGGGTTTGTGGACAGAAGAATCTGTTTGTTTATGAATCACAGGTGCATTTGAGAAGGTTTGTTGTTGGGCCAAGGTTTTTTATGGGTATCACTACGTAGGTGGATCTTTCTCTTGACAGGTAGTTTCTTAGGTCTCATTGTTTTAGGAGCACCCTTTTTCTTCCTCTTTTGTTCAGTCTCCTGCTCACCCTCATCCATGTCATCAAATACTGCCTGTTCATCAAATGCTGCCTGTTCATTCAACCCTAATATCATTCAAGTACTCCTCATCATCAACAACATTTTCATTCCCACCTTGTTCATCATCAACTGATGCATTTTTCTTAGGTGGGCTAGGACCAAAATGTACACTAGGATTTTTTTTAAGGCTCTCAGCAAGCCTTCTAGCAACAATTACACAATCAATAGGCTTGTCAACACAACCAATCCAAATAGTGATCTCATCCATATCCTTTAATCTATCCATCATTGACATTAAATCACTATCAGAAGTAATCTTAACATCTTTCATGTTATAGCAGTAGTGAAAGCTAGGGAATTTAGGAAAGTCATAATTATTTTTCTTAAACCCTTCCTCACACTCAATGATCAAATCTATCCACATGACCTTGTCAATATCTTCTACAAATACTTCAATTATGTTACCCATATAGGCAAACTTTAGCATACACTGATCCATTCTGCAACATAACAACCAACACGCATATATTTCAACATCAAACACGTACTAGCAAGCATAAAGATTTCATCTTTGTTAAAAACGTACTCAGACAAACACAAACAGAGCATGCAACTTTTGCAATTAAAAGAACAACAACAACATACTTAATATTAAAGGACATACCTTGCTTAAGGTATGTATATCAGTTTAGCAACCGCAAGAATTCCCCGATATTGAGAATTCCGTCAGAATTTCGAGAACAAACCCTAAAATTCGAACCCCAAATTTCACCAAAAACCGAACAACTCTAATCAATTATTTCTAACAAATCCACAACAATTTCTCCAAACAATCGTCACGCAAAAGTGTTTGATCCTTACAATTCTTCAATTAATCTACTCTAAAATACGATTTCATGAAGGTTGAAGGAAGATGAAAGAGTTTTGGGTTTTTTTTTTGGAAGACTGTCAAGCATACAGAAGATGAATGAGTGAAAGAAGATTAAATCAAGGGTAGGTTAGTCTTTTCATCAAATGTGGTAAACTATTGAACCATTTTGTGGTAGGTTAGCCCATTTAATGACAATTAGGACACTGTAATCAGTTATATAAAATCCCAGGGACACTATAGAGAGTTCGAAAAAAGTTTGTCTCCCATGTGGAATTTTTAAAAACAGGAGACCACCAAATAGAATATCCCAATTATTTTTATGGGAATTGAACTAAGGAGAATAATTAAACTAAAACAAATTGAATAAGGGAGAAATCAATAAATCAAAGCCTAGGGTATAGGTTCACCAATAAAATAATATTCCAGGTTAAAACACAACAATCAATTATCAATGCATCAATTAATCAGATCATAAAGGGTTTTCGCTACGTATTACAATCACATAATTAATCTATCAGTATCAAATCACATCTCTTGAATCTTGACTTAACCATTTATAAATTAACCTGCCTATTGAAACTAAGCCTTAATATTAATTCTCATCTCTCGAATCTCGAATCAATATTGCATAACTCATACAATTAAACCAGGCCTAATCTAGTTGCATAGCATTAAATCAATCAATAGGATATCAACCAAAGCATTGGAAATCAACAACAGTAAATTACCCCTTCATATTATTTATGGATCCCCACAACCCTAGAAATAAAACTACTCACACATATTTAAATCTAAACTAAGCAAAGCAAATAAACAAGACATAATTAATCAAAGCAATTAATTACTGAAAATAAAAGGGGAAGAAATTGTTACGAAGTAAACGAAAATAATGAATTGCATAAACTAAAAGTGTAGAGAGAGAAAACAAGAGTATTAGCCCAAAAGCTTAAAACTAAAATTTGAGAATTTAACTCATGAATGACGTCCCCGTTATCTAGCTTAACAAAATGTATTTATACTTAAGCTCCAAAAATCCTAATTAAAAACAAACTAAAAACGTCAAACACCCTCAGAAACACACTCCCGGTCGGGCGGAAGCTCGCCCGGTCGGGGGCGCATTCAGGCAAGGACGCTTCACTTCCTTCTGCCTCTCCCGGCCGGGCGCGCCTTAGGGCGAGCACTACCCGGTTGGGCGAAGGCTCTTGGGTGAGGGAGCAACTTCGGCTTGGGCTATTTTCTCTTGGCCCAAATCCGGGTTTCCTCCTTGGGTCTTTATAGCTTGGTCCATTGCCTTGAACTCTTTCTTCACCGAGCCCTTAATTACCGGTTTGAAAACTCCAACCGATCTTGGGCTACGGAAAATGGTCAAATGAACGCGCTCCTACTCCAATGCTCGTAGTGGCTCCAATAAGTCCGGGAGAATGCTCCAAATCTGCAATTTCCTATAAAACAATACCAAATCTACGAAAACACTAGAAACCGTATATTAGTAATAAAAGTGACTCCAAAGAGCCAAAAATACTCCTAATTATGACCAAGGGATGGGGATAAATCACTATATAAAATGAACATATCAGCCCCATATGATCATATTCCTGATCCTAAACCAGCTAGAACTTCTAGATTCTTCTAAAAGGTTTTAATCTATCCTTCCCGAAAAGATAAAGATCAAGAGTTAAAGATTGAATAGAATTCTTATGATAATCCTTAATTTTTCAAAAGACGTTCGGATACATTTTGTGAAGATAAACCATCAGAAACCAAACTCCTTTCGAACTTTTCTATCTTTAAAACCATCGCGCAGCGACAGGATCATCGCGCCGCGTCAACCCTGTCGTGACACGACAAGGACCATCGCGCCGCGACAACCCTGTCGCAACGCGACAGAGAGTTCTATCTTAGTCAGACTTTCTAATCTTTTTTCAATAGTTTGACTCTCTTTTTTCCTTATAAATAGAGGTTGTTTTCATCAATTCGAAAAAAAACAAGGATTAACAACCAACATCATCAACAATCATCAATAACCCACAAAAAGAATTCGAGAGAGAACTCCTATTCCCATGTTCTTAGCCTAAACACATCCAAGATACTTCCCAATCATACACAATACTTTCTTTGCCTGATTCGAATACTTCAAACCATACTCGACGTTGTCTTCGACCTCGAAGTGAAAGGTTGATATTTCTGAGGGTTTGGACCTAAATCTATATTTCTATTCCTAATTAATTTAATTTATTATTTACTTTCTTGAAGTTTACTAACGTGTTTATTGTTTTATAGTAAGAAGGTCGAAGCATCAAAGTAAGTAATTTAATTACTTTCTTGAATAAAAATCATGTTTAGGATAACGTAATGATTTTGTTATTAGTAACATGCTAGGGTTGCTATTAATCTATTTAGTATCATGCCTAGGATCTTACTACTAACGATGTTTTGTGATGATAATTGTGATGTTAATTATATGCTGCTTGATTATCAATGATTTGTTGCTATTACTTGATCACGCCCCTTTTTGCAGGTTTAAAGGGAATTTGTAATTGAAATTATGCCTAATAAGATAATTAATAATTGGATTTAGATTAACATGATTTAATTCAAGTGATCACAAGTATTAGATTTAATTGTGCATTAATAATCAACCAACATAGATTAAACAAGTTTAGGATTAATTTGATGTATGTATGTTGATTGAAAAGCGTGCATGCATGAATATCAATAAGGATCAAGTAGAGGCCTATTTAGGGTGGGTTTGACCTCTTTAAGGTTAAGTTCGTGCCATTATCCCCGAACATCTAGTCATGGTTCCAGACCACTATGGAGATAGCAATCTCTGTGATTATGAATGGGGTGTAACCTTCACAATCGTGAACGGTTTACAAGCTCCTAAAACTTGTTGGCGACTCTTTTTCTCTAGTTTATTTTCTTTGGATCGTCGGCATGCCTACGAACATGACCCACATGTAGGGCGGAGATGAAAAATTCCCTACAACGCTTCATTTTCTTCTTCTCTTCTCTTCGTTCAAGGAGTTTTTGTTCTACCGAAGCTCTCTTAACTTTGAGTTTCTTCTCCTCCTCCATTATGTCATCAATCTCAGCTCACAAGTGATCCATCTCCAAGTCTAACTCAAGATCTTTCATATTTAAAAGATCTCATTGTTGGAAGACATGAGACACTTGCTGAGAAAACTCTAAGACCATCAAAGGAGGAAAAGATGACCTTGTCTGATTTAGCTCTGTAGCACATGCCTGACAAGCGATAGACAAATCCTCCCAAATAACAGGGTCATTAGCCCCTAGCAGACAAACCTGGGCCATCAGTTGCAAAGATAGCTTGATCTGCATGCTTGGCGATGTCTACAACACTAATCTCTCACAAAGAGAGAGAACTTCTTCAAGGAGTTTGACCTCTGGAGATATAGACACTGGGGCATAACCAATAACAAGTGTTAGTCAAAATGAAAGCTCAATAAGCATGATAATGCATGAAATTAGAATGCTTACTTTCACCTGACGCATGATCTTTGGAATCCTTGTTCTCCCCAATCCCCTTATTATAAGGTGTCATCACTGAAATGCAGCAAGACACATTAGATATAAAAGTAAAGGAGCATAAAAGAGGATTTGAATATTATCACTCACCAAAGTCTGAAGATTTGTCTTTCTCCACATGAGCTTCTTCGCAAAGACTTGACTCTGTGGCATCAGAAGCTTCATGAGCAGTCTGAAGCTCGGATTCCTTGGCTTCCTAATTATCCCCATCTTGAACATCTGTATTGCTGTCTTGTGCAACTAGAGGGATAGGATCCATGGTTTGTTGAATTGGAAATAAGATCTGCAGGCTGGTCTGAATAAATAGAAGAAGTAGAAATTTGTTCTAGAACAGGTTTCTCAGAGTTTGATTGGCAAGGGCCTAACTGATCACCCACATTATCTTTAACACCTGGGATAATAGGATCACTACCAGAGGATAAACTATCTGCCACTAACTGATTATGCGAAGCTAAATCATCACCCTTACTCTTACTAGAGTCAACATTACCCTGTCTCTTCTTATCAGCCCTTTGATATGTTTGGGAAGAGGGTACAGGATCATGAGGGGGTGACTTCTCTAATGATAGTAAGCTTGAGCTAGTAGTTTTCTTTAAGAGATCTGGATAGTTTGTTGTACCTATCAATTCTTCTTTATCACTGTTAATTGAAATAGGGTTAGAAGGCGTGGTTTTCCCTGGAGATATCTGCTTCCTCTTAATGTTAGGGGCCAAACCTGACATGAAGGGAGCCAAAGTGAGTAACAAGATGCAATAAGCTTGGACAATTTAGATCTAATGCACTTATTAGTAAGAAGGATATCAGCAGTTTGTAGCTCTAATTCTGTCTTTAATGCAGATTGTGCTCTTGTGCTAAGGCTTGACATGGGGATGCTCCTATGCTTGTTACTCCTTGACTTCTGTGAGGAACCCAGATTTGAAAGAGAGATCATCTTTCTCAATCCAATTCTGTCAGTGTGGAGGTAAACAATACTCCTGTAAGAGTCATCTATGGCAATGGGCTGATAATTGAAGTCTGCTGCTATTGTTACACCCAAAAATCAGATTTTTGGCTTTTATTGACTTTTTCTTGACTTTGACCCGATTGACCAAGTAAGATGGACTTTATAGTCGGTGAAAGGTTTTGGGTTAAACAAACAAGGATAGGTGAAAATGGGCTGGCAGTACCCAAGGGCCCAATATATATGGAAAAGAACCGGCTTGGAGGCAAAGTAGACAATTCAATTTTTAAAGAGAGTTGGTGCCTAGAAGCATAGCTGCAAAACAGTTAGGGGAGTCAGCCATAACCGCTCTAATTTGTCTATAAATAGAAGCATGAAGACCAAAGGAAGGACATTAGCAAATCAATCAACAAAAAGCATTTCATTTCTTTTAAGCTTTTTCTTAGCTTCCTTAGTTTCCCTTGGCTTAGTAGCTAAGCGATAGCGTGGTTTTCCTAACATGTATTAAAGATCGTTTGTTCATTTCCAATTGTATGAACATGGAGGTAACCTCTCCTTCAATTTGTACAATTGTAGACCCAGCTCTATCCTTTAATTAATAGAATACATTTGTATCTTTTGTCATATATTCATATACTCGTTTCTTTACGCAATCTAACTTGTTTAATTTCTTTGAGAAAGCTTCCTTATTGTTTATTTTGTTACATTAGCAAAGTTATCAATCTTTGAAACCGGTAACTTCAAGGGCAACCCCCTAATACTCTAGAACAATATAGGGTATTTAACTTGTTGACAAAGAACAATATTTGCCTCAACAGTTATAATGTGGAATTTCCCTTTATTATTTCTCTCTCCAACCAACCTTAATTATGCTATTTTTTATTATTTCTCTCTACTAACAATTAAATATATCCCCACTAACTATACTATATAGAAAATTTTAAGTTTTACCACCACAAAAAAAAACACTAAATTGTTTTTTAGCACCAAAACTTCTATAAGTTTTTATTTTACCACCAAAAAAAATTCAAAAAATTGTTTTTCACCACCTACCGTCAAGAGAATCGTAAATCTAATGGTTTTTTAAAAATTTCTTCGATCTCTATGCCAAAAACATGCTTTTTAGAAGTGGTCATTTTGGTCCTATGGGACCGATTTGAAGTCACAAATGACCAAAAAAATATCAAAAATATACCTGCTTGCGTGTGTCACGCAAACCGAGGTTTTTTAAGTAGGCAAATCGAGGCATTTTTTGTCAATTCAAACCTCAAGTCGGTCCCAAAGGACCAAAATGACCCCCAAAACCATGAAAAACATTTTTTGGGCTCGAAAATCGAAGAATTTTTTTAATTTCGTTTGATTTAATGATTATATTGACGACAGGTGGTGAAAAACAATGTTTGGATTTTTATTTGGTGGTAAACTAAAAATTTTACTCCTTCCATCCTTTTATTAAGAGTCTGTATTCCATTTAAGAGTAACCAAAATTAAGAGCCTATTTCCATTTAAAGTTGTTCTTTTTGACAATATTACTCTCTTTTATTTATGATTTGTCAACATTTTTCTTTTTCTTTTTAGTACTTTTGACATCAATTCTCAATACTTTCTCTATCCCTCTCATCAATAATTTTCAACAACTTTTTTTTTTCTATTTATCTCTCTCTAACCCCTACATGCATATTTGTACTTCCAATAATTATTTTTAAGGAATTTACAAATTTCTTAATTCACGTTAAAAACCCCAAATAGGCTCTTAATAAAATAATGGGGGGAGTAGAAATTTTGGTGTAAAAAACAATTTCGTGTTTTCTTTTTTTTTTTGTGGTGGTATAAGTTAAATTTTCCTACGGAGTACTTTATATTACTTGTATATAATTCCCCTTTTGATCCCACCTTATAATTTTCCTAAAGCTTGTACAATACCTAATATTACAATTTTTATAAAATAAAGGAAGTAATAAAAATACGAGTATAATTTTTTTTAGTCCGAACCCAACCTCACCGATCCAAATTGACACCCCTAAAGGCTCTAATCAGCCCTAAGTAAGAAAATAAAGAGCTTTGAACAAAAAGGAAAATTCACTCGCACAGTCGCAGCTGAACCCTGCATATACCCTTGCCTTTGCCCCCCTTTTCTCTCTCTCTTCCGAGAGAAGCCAAACTCACATATTCCCCCAAATTCATCAATGGCGGACGTCAATAATTGCCCCGAACCCACATTGCCCACCAAGCGTATCCCCGATCCAACCACCGATAACTCCGCCATTGATGCCAAAAGGCAGAAACTCGAAATCCCAGATAACAATGGCAAAGATACTCTCGAATCTCTTGAACCAACCCCAGAAAACGACGTCGTACAGAAAGGAAAGAGTATCGAAGAACAACTGGACCCAGTAGCAGAAGAAGTTGAAGAAGAAAAGGGTTCTAATGGTAGCAAAGCTGAAATTGACAGGAAAGGGAAGGGTATTCTTATTGAAGAAGACGAAGAAGAAGATGAAGATGATTCCGATGATGATTCTGATGATTCAGGTTCCGATGAATTTGGTGATGAATTATCTGATGGTAGTGATATTGCTGAAGATCCCTTGGCTGAGGTTGATCTTGATAATATTCTTCCGTCTCGAACTCGCCGGAAAATCATTAATCCTGGTGCTTACCTTGCTACTGATCTTCCTCCTGAGAATTCTGATGACAGTGATGACCCTGATGCTTAGAATTTTTTTTATCGAGGTTAGTTTTTAGAATTTGATCAATGTGTTAGGTTATTTAAGTTAGAATATATGTTGTGGCTTGTGAAGAATGATACTTTTATTAGTGTTTTTTATTTATGATTATTATTATATGGATTTTTAGTTACCCTTTGTTTCTAATATGTTTATGATCTTGGTAGCATTGTTTAATTTGTTGTTATTGCCCGAATTCGGACTTATTGGTTTTATATGTTTGATGATGTTGTTAATAGGTATTTTGTTGAGGCAGTAAATTAGGTGTTGTAGTTTAGATTTGAGGGTTTGCACCTATGATCTTGTGAACATATATGATCACAGAAATTTTTCGAGTTTGCTTTGCAGTTTTTCGAGTACCAAGTGGATGATTAAAGATTGTAGCCGGATTAGCTGATAACATTAGGGGAAGCCCTGTTATGTTCTTTTTCAATTATGTCTTCGGGTGTAAGTAGAATTTAGTGTTCTTTCTCGGGTGTAAGTAGATTATTTTGCTGGAAAAACGTTGTATATCACGTTCATATTTTGTTACATTGGAGCCTTCAGCCATATAAGATAGTATAGCTTGTTATTTAGCTGGAGTTTGTCCTTTCGGTGTTTTGAATGATTGAGTGCATTTGTTCACTGTAATGGTTTGTAAAACAATAATATGATAGCTCTTTGCTTTGATTCTTCAGGGAAAAGAAAAGTGGACTTGTACTACACTGGTTATTAATATAGTAATTAAACATTAACTCAGACCAATGACACTAAATATATGAAGTAATGTTTGGTCTTCCTTGTGAATTTCATGGGTTCCCTTTTTGTCTGCAGGGAATTCCGCTCCTAGGATTTTTTGCTTTGAGTTTAATGGTGATTGATGTAATATATGGTAATGGACTGAACAAGATGTTTCAGAACATAAGTCCTTTTGTCCGAACACGGTAGTATCTCTGAAACTATTGTGTTTAAAAGTCCAGAATGCGGGTTGTGGGTATGTTCACCTAAATCTTAGTATATAACTTGCAAACATAGTACTGGTATGCAGTGCGTATCTCGCAGGAAAAGTTTATTATATAACATATGACTTGTATGCAGAGACTCATGAAATCATACTTATAGAGAAATACACTACAAACATGGTCATTGCTGGAGTTGTGAAGAATAATACAATACAAACATGGTCATTGCTGAATTTATGAAGAATAGTTCATGTATGTTGGTGAAGTTGCAGTATTACTGAGTATTACCTTTGGCATGGGAATTATCTTGTAAAATTTGTATGCAATCTCAATTACACTCCATCACTTATTACCATGAAAAATTTGGCCGTAAAAGAAAGTCTAAGAATGTACGGTACAAAAAGACTTGTAAGCAAAGAATGAAACGAGAATGGGAAAATAAAGTCTGCTAGATTTAAAAAAAAAAAAAAAGATGTGTTTACACTTTACAGTTTACTTCTATATTGGGGATCATGTTTATTAACTGAATTATTTTTTCCTTTATAGTCGGCTATATCATTTCTCCCTCTAAGTAAACCACTTGGCCACTTTTTTCCATTGGCTATCTGGAAGGCCAGCTTGGAGCTGCTAAACAGAGTGGTCATTCCTTTTTTCTGCAATCAGAACTTAGGCTCAGTTTTTTATGGTGGAAAACATTTTCTTGGAAGATGATTTTTTTCTTTTTTTTTTTTCATTTCTTCATTTTCCTTTGTTTGTTTTGTTGACAGGTGGAAAACAATTTTCCCTAGGTGGAAAGTTACTTTTATGAGAAAGAAAACTATTTTCCTTTTATAAAGATGGTGTTCTACATTTTCCTCTTTGCTCATCACTTCTCAGTTTTCTATCCTTCACCTCCTTTTTACTTTCATCTTTCTTTTCCTCCATAATTTTTTCTATAATCAAACAAACAAAGGAACCCTTTTCACAATCTTATTTCCATTGAAGATTGTTTTCTTTAAAAATTGATTTTCCATGAAAGATGTTTTCCATCAAAACAAATGGAGCCTTAGCCCCAATCTTTTGTGGTTCTGTTGTTGTACTGTAAGATATTCTATCCTTTAAATCCTAAATCAGAAGCAACTTTTGATTTGTTCATTTGAAGATGTAATTTGTATCCAATTTCCAATAGAATTTGCTGGAGGTTAGTCATTGCCTCGAGTAAAGTCTATATTTTTCTGGATGTATTTGGCTTTTCTGCTTGGAGTTTTTGCTACTGTTGTCCTATTTCTTAAAGCTTTATGATCTGTATAGAACTTAGGCCTCTAGGGGCATGGGTGAATTTGGTAATTTGGTCATGGGAAAGCAACTTGGAATTCATTTGCTCAATTATCTTGAAGCTAAGAGGAGAGTAAGATTATAGAGAGACCTTGCATGCGTGACTTTTGAGTTACTACGTAGTTTTTTCTATAAGATAGTTGAGTGTAGCTTTTAGAGTTTAGATGAAGTGCATCAGATCAGAGTTGAGATGTTTGGTCCTTTGTGTACTTGCCCTACTTGGTGATTCAACTAGCTTTGTTTTTAAGATTTTGCTACAGCATGAAAAGAAAATGCTAGAAGACTTTTGACATTGCTTAGAATCCATCAGCGGTAAAATAAACTAATTGTGGTCTTTGTGGATATGGCATTTCAGAACTTGGTGAATCAAGGGTGTTAGATTTTTACTCTGTAATTCTGGTTTACATTAGGACAGGAGAATTTGTGTAATATTGATGGTAAACTTAGAATATCTGGTAATAGTTCCTATTGCAATGAAATTAGTTGTAATGGTTTCCTTGACGTGATATGTGAGTATAGATTAGGTGGCAGCTGGCTAAAACAGTGATGCTAAGCCATTGTATATGCAATTTTGTTAAGTCCTGGTCTAAGCTATTCTTGTGCGGTTGTCCCTTTCTTTTCAATGTTCCATATTCTATTCATATTCATTTGTAATTAAAAGAGAAGGCAAAAATCAGGTAAGTGGTCAACATTGTCTCTTGCCTTGTATAAAAATGAAGGCTATTATTTGTACTTTTTTGTATTTGAAGAGAGGATAAGATATTGGAATAAGTTTCAGCACTTAAAAGTGATTAATCTTACAGAGTATTATATGCCCTACAATATCCCTTGTACATTGCAAATTCTCTACTCGTCTGCCCATTTGGAAAGCTCAACATAAGCTCTCCAAATGGGCAAGTGAGCAAAAAATTGGCCTTGTGTGTTCCTGTATTTGGGTATATAATACAGTTCTCGCTGTATGGTAATAATTTGCTTCATACAGTGCAAATTAGCATAGAAAGGAAAAGTTAGCTTCCATATCAGTATAGTATGTATACAGAGTAAAACTTTGTAACTTGTCTTGCTTTTCTGGTGTTGTCGTGTTAGTTTGATATAACATAAAGCTTGATATGAAGCTTGTCCTTTCTTCTGTAGGTGAATGCTTCATTATTTAGTTGTTCTTGTATCCTCTGTTTGCTTTCTACATCTTGCAACAGCTTAAGTTTCCGTCTCTTTTTGCCCAGTCAATTTTGTCTTGTATTTTCCTTAAGGATTTATTTTGCTTATTTGATGGCATAAATGTTTCTATCTACTGGTCATCATTGTGACGAACTAATCGTGGTGACTAGGGTTGTTTTAACTGTGAAGCACGGTTCAAACCACACACCAAACTGTTTTTTGTAGCATGGTGCAATTTTCATTTTGAAATTTTTGGTTTGGAATTTTGACCACATTGTGGTTTATGATTTAAGTGCGGTTTATCAAACTAGGAAACCAAATTGCACCACAAACAACATTAGAACGTAAACTGTTTCTATATTTTTGTTAAAGAAAAAAGACAAAAGGTTTTAAATACAGATTTATATTATTAAAAATATACTGTATAAGTTACCTTTGCACAATTTTTTTATTTGAATACTCCATTAATTTATTACGGACTAGTTATAATAAGATTCATTTCTTTTGGGTGCAGGATGGTCAGGTAGTGGTATTGAGTCATTTGATGGGGTTTGATTTGATTCATATTCAGTCAAGGAGTCATTTGTTTCGATTTGGAATCATCTGAGTTTATTGTCAGGTAGCTTGTAATGATAGATTAACAGATATTAGTCATGTATATATTGATCGAGTTGATTTGGATCAGTATTGGTTTAGGTCTCAATGGATTCATGTGATTTCAAGTTTAGTTTGGCTTTGAGTTTGATAAACAGGAGCGAGTTAGTCTTGCCAAGCCTTGTCAAAGCTCTATCAACTTAGGTTTTATTGCACTCCCAAAAACTATAGAAGACTAGAAGTTATAAAGGCCGTCTTTGAGTTGATAGTTGTAGCCTAATTTCTCTTAGACAAAGTGTCCGATAATTTCCATCGGAGATTATCCTCTGATAGTTGTTCGCTTTACCTTGTATCTTTCAGCTAATCTTGATTTTACAAGGCCCTGACTAAGGCTTTAGCAATCTCAAACTTGTCATGTCGTAGCAAACTGGACACTTACTCCAAAATTTCGCGCCACTACACTCAATCCTCCTAGCCATCATTTATCACTGTTGCAGCAGAATTATTCCTGGCAGTCCCTCTTGCATGGCTCAGGCTGCTGCAATCTTGAAATCTTGAAATGTATCTCCTGCAATCCTTGTAGCACTATATGAAGAAATGAAGGCTGCTGCAATCTTGAAATGTACCTCCTGCATGGCTCAGGCCCACAAGCCCAAAACATGCAAATGTAACAACAGCCTTGCTACATAAGCCTTCAGCTTGCCCAAATGCTAGTGATAATTTGGCTTATCCAAACCATCCTATGAAGTTTAGGTTTTGACTTTTTTTTTTTTTTTTTTTTTTGGGAAGAAAGGTACATAATTGCTAATGGATTCTCTATTACAGGAAATGACCAAAAACAGCTAATGATTTCCCTATCTCTGGAAAAGAACCAAAAGCCATAACAAAAGGAAAAAAAAACAATCACACACGCATAACAAGAAAGAAATCTAGGCCTCGTAAGGAAGCCAATCTCCTAAGAGACGAGCAAAATATGATTGGCCAATCTCCTAAGAGGCGAGCAAAGTATGAACATGTAAACATATAAAATCATGATTCTGTATTTGGTTATGAAAAATCCTTAACAAATGACAAAGTATACAACCTAAAAATAAGGAATACTCTTGTCAAAAAAAAAAAAAAAAAAAAAAAAAAAAAAAAAAAAAAAAAAAAAAAAACGGAATTCAATAACGAACATGGAAGAGAATTCAAACAAAATATCCAAATTAGAACTACAAAAACTATGAACAAACTCAACAAAGTATCAATAGGCAGGGTCTTAAAATAGCTTCATAGCATCAATGGATGCAAGGTCAAAACAAGCGTGGAGACCTTTGCTTGAATATCAAAACAAAATACCAATCCAATCCATAGATTAAATATAGAATTGTTGTTGTTGATAGTTCATCACAACACCCTCCAACATTTAAAACCTTTTACTAGTAGAAGATGTCATTAGGTAACAAAATTTGGACTTAATGATAAATTTTCAATGTACTAAAAAAGTCACTAGATCAAACATGAGAAGATAGTTGATTATATAAATATTCTCCATGTTTTGAGCTAAACCAGTTAAAATAGGTTAACATGATCAATTGATTTATAGGGAGAAGGGTTGGTGTCAAGCATTTGACCCATATTGGGTTGGATTAGTATTAATGAATTTCAAGGCATTTATTTTTTGCAACTTGATAACTCATAACTCATTTGTCGACTCTAAATTTTACTTCCTCCATTCATTTTTACTAACAACACCTGCAACTTTACACTATTCACATCCTTTCATTAGACCACCACTATTGATTTTTATATATGTTAGGCAAAATATAAAATCATGTGAGATCTTGTTATATTCATCTCAATTATATTTTCACAATATCAATTTTTATATTTTTACCTTTCTATAGTTAGAAATATGAGAAATTAAAACTATACATTGATAAACATGAAAGTCAAGACATTACAACTAAAAGTGAATGTAGAAGTAATTCATCACGTTCTTCCTCTCCTTGTTATTTTTCCTTGTTGTACTCTTGCTTGAGACCATATATCATTTGATACATTTTTGTTGCTAATGTTAAATTTTGAATTATTTTTGTAAATTATTGCGGTTGAGTTCATTAAGGTTGTCCAACAAGATAGCATTAGGTACTCCTTTGTTTTTATTAAGTGTCTCACTTTGATAAGTACATTTGTCAATGTAGGATTTTGACCAATATTATATTTACTTATCGATAAATTTAAATTTTAAAAGGAAAATGATAAACAAGTCCTAAGGGCTGTGTATAAGAAGCTAAAAAAGATTGAGGATAAATTAACGTTAATTACACCGATTTGCGCGTGATTTTATGATGAATTCCTCACTTAATTCCATTTTAGGAATTATATTTAATGCTTATCATACATAAACTATACATTGAGAAAAT